TTTCCCTCCCGACCCCGCACTCACCGGCCCAGGTCTCGGTCAGGGCCAGGGCCCCCGAGAGCAACAGGAGGAGGGTTCGGGGCGCCATGACCGCATCTCGGCGTCTGGGAGACTCTGAGTCCGGGTGGGTGGGTGGAGACTTTAGAACTGAGACCGCGGCGACGCTGATTGGCTTCTCTAGACATCCGACACCCAATGAGAGTGGGAACTGGGACGCGTCAGGAGTATCCTGGAGGAAGGACCCGACACAGGTTGGGAGAAGAAGTGAAACTAGGGGAGTGGGGAATCCCCAACTCTGCGCCTCCCCAAGGCAGACAAGGCTCTCGGAGCCTGAGACCCTGAGAGCCACGCCCGGGACCTGGGACTTCGTCCTGATCCCTCTTCTCCTACACCAACCTCTTTGTCACACTGTCTGCCTGAGTCCTGGACAAGGATCTGTCTGTGGAAACCAGGGAGAGACCCCCCCCAGGCTGCGCCCAGCCTCTTCCCCTTCACTACTTGTCCTGGAATCCCAGTCCCTGAACTGGACTCCCTGCCTCCCACTCCTTACCTCTCCCCTTGGACCTTTGTGCAGGGAAACTCACCACGGGGAACTTGATGCCAGACAGTGAGCTCGCCCTGGGAATGGAGGTGGAGAGACAGGGGTTTTCTCTCTAAACCTGGTGAAGTTTTGTCTGAAGGCACCACACAGAGATTCTCATAGAGACCAGTTTCCTTTTTGTTTATTAATACAGTCGGTAGCACGATGTTGATAATCCCTGAATGATTAGAATTCCAATTTGTGAAAGACCTGTGCTCAAACAGCATTACAAAGCTCCTAAGTTTTACTTTCCCAGACTATGGATCTGTGACTCTGGGTTGTTGCCTTTAAAATTACCTTCATTCCCTAGCCGGAGTTTCCCTGTGTGAGTCCAGAACGTCTCCTGAATACAAAGAAGCAGGGTTTGTTACTGTCTATTGCAACCGGGAGCCTGTAGTCATCACCTCAAAGTTGCGAGTGCTCCATGCAGTCCCAATGCTCTTCACCGACGCTCAAGCACTGCCTATTTTCGTGAACTCTGCACATCTAAGCAGTGTGCATATTTTATCTGGACACTTGGTATTTTTGTAACTCTTTTTTTTTTTTAATTGTAAGGAGCCAATTAGTTTTTAGGAAATCCAACAAAATGTATTGAATACCGAATGCAAAGAACCGCCTGCTAGGCTCTTCCACTGCTTTAGAATTCTTTCCTCTCTCCTTTTCCTCACCTCCTGCTTCTCTAGCCCTTCTCTCTGCCCTCATCCCTCACACCCTCCTCTCCCCTTAGTTACCCTGAACTGTGGCACTGTGAAGAACAGTTTCTTTTCCCTAAAAACTTTCCTTATGCCCCTTTCTATTTAATCCTTGCCTCCCACCCTCACCCGTTCCCTTCACTCAACCACGGCTCTGTTTTCTGTCACTGCAATAGTGAAATTTCTACAATTTAATGGACATGCAATCGTGTGATATGTAGTCCTTCGTTTGGTTCTCACTTAGCATAACGATGTTTGAGATGATGCCATTCACTCATTTTTGTTGCTGAGCAGCTGCTGAGTATTGCTGGAATCCCAGTTTATTCATTGGTTTCTCTATTCTCTAGTTGATTGACATGTGGATCACTCCAGCTAGGGTTTGTTATTAATGCAGCCACTAGAAATAACTGCTTACAAGTGTGGGCTACATTTTTATTTCTTTTGGATAAATACATATTTGTGGAATTGCTGGGTCATGTGGTAATGGATGGGTAACTGTATAAGAAGTTGTCATAACGCTTTACAAGTTGACTGCCACATTTTTTGCATTCCTACCAGCAATATCAGACGTTCCTATTTTTTCCATATTCTTGACAGTATTTAGACTTATCAAATGTCTTTTTAACTTTACCTATTCTAGGTGATGTGTGATGGCTTCTCATTGTGGTTTTAACTTGCACTTCTTAGATGACTAGTATTGTTTACTATCTTTTCATGTTCATCTAAGTGACTTATTACATATATTTTACGAACTATTTTGCAAATTCAATGATTAATTCCAGAGACTTTTGCAGAATCTCCTAGTGTTTTCTATGTATACAATGAAGCTGGTGACAAAGAAAGACTTTCGTTTCTTCCTTTCCTATCTATTGATCTTTTTTCTTTTAAAATTATTTTTATTTGGTAGACATGAGGTCTCACTATCAGGCTGGTCTCCAACTCCTGAACTCAAGTGATCCTCCCACCTCGGCCTCCCAAAATGCAGGGATTACAGGCGTGTGGCACCATGCCCAGTCCTTGTTACACTGGTTAGGATGCCTGTTAGGTGTTTAAACAAGAATGATAAGAGCTCACATGTTTGTTTACAAGGAACTAAAACAAATTTACAAGAAAAAAAAAAACCGGCCCCATCAAAAATTGGCGAAGGATATGAACAGACACTTCTCAGAAGAAGAAACATATGAAAAAAAGCTCAATATCAATGATCATTAGAGAAAGGCAAATCAAAACCACAATGATGTACTATCTCCCGCCAGTCAGAATGGCAGTTATTAAAAAGTGAAGAAACAATAGATGCTGGCGAAACTGTGGAGAAATAGGAATGCTTTTCCACTGTTGGTGGGAATGTAAAATAGTTCAACCATTGTGGAGGATGGTGTGACCATTCCTCAAAGATCTAGAACCAGAAATACTATTTGACCCAGCAACCCCATTACTGGGTATACACCCAAAGGAATATGAATCATTCTACTATAAAGACATATGTACATGTATGTTTATTGAAGCACTGTATTCAATAGCAAAGACATGGAACCAACCCACATGCCCATCAGTGATAGTCTGGATAAAGAAAATGTGGTAGATGTACACCATGGAATACTACACAGCATAAAAAGGAATGAGTTCATGTCCTTTGCAAAAACATGGATGAAGCTGGAAGTCATCATCCTCAGCAAACTAACATGGGGACAGAAAACCTAACACCACATGTTCTCACTCCTAAGTGGGAGTTGAACAACGAGAACACATGGACACAGTGAGAGGAACAACACACACCAGGGCCTGTTGGGGAGTCAGGGGTGAGGGGAGGAAACTTAGAGGACGGGTGAATGGGTGCAGCAAACCACCACGGCAGACTACACGTATGTAACAAACCTGCACATTCTGCACATGTATCCTGGAACTTAAAGTAAAATAAAATAAGTTAAACCAAAAAAGAAAGTGCATGTCTTACATGTATACATATGTTTATTGAAGCACTATTCACAATAGCAAAGACTTGGAATCAACCTAAATGCCCATGAGTGGTAGACTGGATAAAGAAAATGTGGCACATACACACCATAGGATACTATACAGCCACAAAAAGAATGAGATTATGTCCTTTGCAGGAACATGGATGGAGTTGGAGGCCATTATTCTTAGCAAACTAATGCAGGAACAGAAAACTATATACCACATGTTCTCACTTATAAGTGGGAGCTAAATGATGAGAATACATGGCCACGTAGAGGGGAACAACACACACTGGGGTCCACTTGAGGGTGGAGGGTGGGAGGAGGGAGAGGATCAGGAAAAATAGCTAATGGGTACTAAGGCTTAATACTTGGGTGGGTACTAATGGGTATAGAAATAATCTGTACAAC